ACTGTAGTGCATTGGGTCCCCATTAGTGAAAGTTGCACCTGCACGAGGTGATTTGCCCGTGAGTTCTTTGGAGTTTGGTATAATCCCCTTCCTTCTTCTCAAAGTACAGTTTTCAGAACAGGAGATTCAACTGAGACAGGATGCACAGAGGGCTGGAGGTACCTATTATATCCCTGTTCTCATGCTTCCTCTGATGCTTGGAGTCACCAGTTCATCTTCCAGTTGTCAGGTTAGAGGAATTTTTTTTTTTTCATTTTGCAAGCTGTCCTGCCTGCCTGCCTATCTTGGCCATAGTTTGTTGAATTTTTCATCTGCTGAATACAATTTGGTGACTTTGTGTCCCAGTCCAGTCTGCAGAATATTTTAAGCCTTGTTCTTTGCCCCAGTGGTTAGACTGGGGACAACTGGGCACCTTGCCACTTGAAGTTAAGTTGGGGATGGGTCCTAGGCCCATGTGATCCTTTTCTATAAAGCTCTCATAGTCTTGGTTGCACTACAGGGCTTGTGCAAGATCTGTGGGGCTCTCTCCCAATAGCAGACATGACAGGTGGGGACCTACCCCAGAGGCCATAAAAAAGAGGGATACATGATTATGGCCCTTCTACCGGGGCACTAAATGTGGCCCAGACTCTCTGGGAATCAGATCTAGCAAGGAAGAGAGCCGAAACACCACAGAGATGATCAAGAACTAGGCAACTTCTTAGGAAACATTCTGCCTCATGGAGTGGGAGTAGGTGGGTGACAACAGGTGACAGGAAGAGCAGTGCAGGGCTAGGAGCTGTGGAAGTTGCGATGCTGAGCCCCTGGCAGCCCACTCTCTCTAACCTTACTTTGGAATGCAATGCAGTAGAGCTGGAGCAGCCTCTAGCCTCAGTTCCCTGCATCAAGAGCCGTGTGGGATTGGCAACACAACAATCACCCTATTGCCCTGTAGTGGCTCTGCTGCTGGGTTAGCCTCTGATGTGGCTAGCCTGATCGGCTCCAAAGTTTTCAAGGATCCAGAACCACAGCACACACCCCTGTGACAACAGCTTGGCCATTCCAGGCCTATCTGACACAGGCTGGAGTAGAATACAGGCTAACTGTTCAGAGTGAATCTCCTGCAAGTTCCAGACTGGACAAAGACCCAGTCTTGAGCAGAGAGTGTCAAATGCACTAATAGGCAGACCCAAAAGCATGATGCTCGTTTGTCTATAAGAAATGCAATTTGCAATTGTATACTAGCAAGCAAAAAATAATAAATAAATAAAAATATCTCTAACTTGAGTGGTGATTTGGGTTTTGGTTCCTGGAAGAGCTCCCAGGTTGACCTCTTCTAACTCTAAGTCCTTGGCACCCAGAGGACACGTTCAATACAGGCCAGGGCAGCTCTGTATGCACCCTTCTTCCTCCAAGCTTCTTCTACTTTCAAGGTGGTAACCTGTAGGCAGTGTGTAAAAAGTTCTCAAACCTCTTGAATTTAGACTGAAAAGTAATGTTTTGTCTTTCATGTATTGTCAACAAACAAGATTTGCAATTATTAGTCGCTTTATGCACAAGTTTTCACAAACCATGCAAATGAACTTCATAATCAGAAGTTAATGTGTCAAACGAGATAATGCCCACTTTTATTTCCTTAATTTTGAGGCTCAGGTATTTTTGTGGGTTTGTTAGCCCTTCTTGGACTGCTTTTCAATATCTTTGAGCCCAGTTTAATCATGGGTCCTCTAGGCCTGTACAGGAAAACGCCTAAGAGTTCCAGAAGGTCTAGGCCCCAGGAAGGCTACACATGCCAATCTGAGGGAGGAGGTGATCAGTGGCTATCAAATAACCCCAGGTGTCACTGCTTATACAGTTTTCCAAATGTGGGTACTTGTGGGATGGCTTAGGCTTTCTAAAACCACAGCCTTGCAGAAGAAAAGCAGGCCGTGAGAGCTGCCTGAACCCTAGCCCCAGCACTCTGATGATGATCATATATCTATCATGACAGTTTTTTCCATGGCTGCTGGACATGACCACTGCCTCACTCCTCTCAGTCACCAGAGTGTGGGAACACTCATTGCTGGAGCCTTCTAATAAGCCTGAGGCATACGTACATTCATTCCTAAGTGCCCCCAAGCCCTGCCATATAGCCAAGCTCACCTGAGCAATGGGTGGTGGATTATGAGGGTACCTTGCTGTTATCTGTGACATTGCAGGGGCTCCTTGTTTTCTCTCCCTCTATTAGATGCCCTTTCCCCCTTCTTAGATGGCTCGTAGTGTAAGTGACACATCACACTATTGTCAGTGTTCATTTTGAGTTCTCTTACGTGCATTATAATGCCATTCAGTTTTCTGTTTGAATGGTGTGGACTTTTGGCTGCAGGCTAACAGGGAAGGCAGATATAGATAAAATCCTTGGAGGGTAATTGGACGTCAGGGACACACTATTGTCATGGGATCTGGCTTTCCCAGGTAACAAGGACAACATCCAGAAAGCATGCTCCACCTTGGGCTTTATCCAGGAACATCTGAACTCCTAGCTTTCCCTGGGACAGGAGGCTGGGAATGTGACGGGGAACAGCAGGTTCGGTTTGACCATATGAACTGGGAGCAGTTCCAGAAACTCACCATACAAGATGCCCAAGCAAGCACTAAGATTGTAAGCCTGGTGGCCAATTACAAAGTTGTGATGTCCCGTTCTATTCCAGGCCCTGTGATTGGTCCAGTCCAACTACCCAGCCTCTGCCCCAACACTCATCACCTACCACTCAACCTTTCCATCATGTCATGCAAGCCAACACCCATCAGCATTACACATGGAGACAGAAAACTAAAGTCACTCAGCCCAGCACTTCCCTTCTGAAATCCCTGACCTGTGTGCTTAGATGCTAGCCCTGCCTATCCTGGGTCCAAACATCAATCACTCCGTAATCCATACATGTATTCCAGACATTATTCCAAGTCCTGGGAATCAACCATACCATTGCTGCAGCCCTTCACTGATGAAGTAGACATTCCACAGATAGGACAGACAGCCCATAGATATAAGCTAAACTGAGTAGCAGAGCAGGCAGGGAGTCAGGAGCCCAGTATCAAAACATTAGACACTAGAGCAAGACCTCAGGGAGCCCAGGTAGTGAGCACAGGGAGGGACGTCTAGAGCCTCAGAGAAGGGTGTTACCTACATGGGCAGTAGGGGAGGGGCCATCAGCAAAGTACAATGGTCTGAGGATGGATTGAATCCAGGGAGAACTGGACCTATCCTCTGGGTTGGGTATTCCAACAGGAGGTCCTAAAGGACCTCTGGAGGTTCTGAAGGGTGTCTAGCCAAGGGCTTCCAAGGCTTGAGTGTGCTTGGAAAAGGAGCTGCCAGGGACTGTGGTGGAAGGGTAGGCTTTGGAGGGCAGAACGGATTTGGAAAGTCAGCTCTCATGGGGGAACTAAGATATATAAGTGAATACTTAGATTGCAACCCTTATCAAGGAGGGATTCTAACACCCGTGGGCAGAAAGGACCTGGGGGAAAATGGGAGTGTGCCCTGTGGTCACAGGCCACAGTAAGGACTGCTGTCATGGAGGAGCAGACTCCCAGGCCACAATACACAGGATCTAGATGTTGATAAGCCCTGGATTGTGTTACAGAGTATAAACTGGTTGGCCAGAAGGGCTGGAGGAGCAGTATCTGTAGCCTGAGAACTCTACTCAGGTGAAGTTGGGCTTCTTGATTGTGACACAGAAAGGATTTTAGAGAAAGTTAGTGTGAAACAAAGTTAGAGCTTTTAAACCATTGTAACAGATTTGGCATAGGGTTCACAGAAAGAGGATTTTAGAGGAAAGGGCAGTATATGTATAAATGGCAGTGTGCATATGGGTATGGACTTCTCGGGAGTCACTTTGAGACTGTTTTTACAGTAGCCATGTATAAAATTTTGGTGGTGAGTTCTGAAGTTATATCTTGAAGGGTTGCTAAGATTTTTTCCCCTAAATTAGATTGTAGGGAGGGTTCTAATGTGCACTAAGTAGGGTTACAGCTGAAAAAGTAAAACTCGAGGATTGTGCAAGGGGGTTAAGACACGGCTATTTGTTGTGTTTGAGTCAGGGTCTCATGTATCCCAAACTGGCCTTAAATTTGCTACACAGTCAAGGCTTGCTTTGAAATACTTCTTCTGCCTCCTGAATGCTGATATTACAGCCATGCAGTGCCACCGACTATGACAATTGCTTCTATTTTTTTTCTCTGTAAACAAATCTATAACCATATTGTGAGATTCCCAGAAAACTGCAGGTTTATATCTGGGAAAGGGATTAAAGTCATATATGTTTAGTTAGGCATTACACATGATTTAATGCCATTTTAACATCATTTTCTTAAATATCTCCATATAAAAGGAATATTGTCTCTGTGTATGCAAAGTTCACAGCAATTTTAAATTGTGATGGAATTCTTGACTTTCACTTGGCCAGAAGTTCGAGGACACTCTGGAATGAGAAATCCCTTTCCTGTCCCGTGTCTCCTTCATTTTCTCTGTCTTTCTATACTGACTCAAGTTTACTTAGATGGCATGATGTGCTACCCAAGGACTCCAGGTTCTCAATGAAGAAAAAAGGGCATCGCTGTGTGTATATAATAGGGTGTAGCAAACCGCGAAACTAGGGAAACCATCTAGCTGCTGAGGGGGTCAAGGTAGGAGAAGCAGGTCCCATTTATCAGGTAGAGTCGGGCAGTGACCTGTCTGGCCTCACGCTGCGCTCCGCCCAGAGGGAAGCAGTTGTCAGTGGGCTGGGTGCTGCTCGACCTTGGGGGCGAGCGACCTCGAGGACCTCCAAATCCACAGGTCCTGGCTGCTAGCTCAGGAGTACGCAGCACCCTGAGAGCCCAGATTTCCAGGCAGGGGCCCAAGCGACTAGGTGGGTGTGAGCAGGGCCGGCGTGAGTGCCTCTAAGGCTGAACTGTTTGCATTCACGTGTGCGCAGCGGGGGCGGGAAAGCCCCGCCCTGGCGCGGGAGGGGGCAGCGGGATTAAAGGCCACCCCGGCTGTCGGGGGACCTGACTGTTGCCAGCTCCCGGATCGCGCTGAGCGCCGGGACAGAGAACGCAGGGACTCACCACGGTATGCGTGTTGGCTCCCAAAGCTGAGCAGCCGCAATGTGGCATCCGGCTCTGGAACCAGGCTGGAAGCCGCTGCTGGCGCTGGTGCTGGCGCTGACCAGCCTGCGAGGGGCGACAGCCTCTGAGGCGGAACCCAGCGCAGATGAGAGCTTCCAGGTGGTCACCTTCAAATGGCACCACGTCCAGGATCCATACATCATCGCACTTTGGATCCTAGTGGCTAGTTTGGCCAAAATCGGTAAGCGGCCCGGGGTTTTTTGGATCACGGTATCCCATGACTGAGTCTTAGTCAAGCCCTTAGAGTCTGTACCTCCTGTCTTTGCCCTAGAATTTATTCCTTTCTGAGGAAGAGGCACATCCAGGGAGAGTTGGTGCTGGTGTTGGTTGGAGAAGCACACCCGAAGGCATCATACTCTGGTCCTACAGGGCAGGTGTCGCCCACAGTCGCAGGCTCAGAACGACTGCTCTGCCCAAATCCTTCTCTAGTTAGCTGCCCTGCTGGGTACCTTGGGGCTTGGTATTGCACTGAGTGTAAGTGGCACCGGCATGAAGTCTCATTCCAGACAGTAAAAATAAATAAATAAATAAATAAATAAATAAGCTTTGTTGTTGTTGTTCCAGACAGGGTTTCAATAAATAGCTTTTGATTAAACCCACGAAAACTCATGACCCCTTGTCTGGAGAGGAGGATGGTGCTCCTCTCATAGCTGACTCAGTGAATCTGGAAAGTGGGACTGAAAAAGTGCCTAGCAAGGAGAGAGGAAGGTCAGACCTCTTAAAAATTTTAGGAGGATCAAAGCTTCAGTATCTTTCTGGAGGTGGTGATACGTGGTCTCTGTGGAATTTAGTAGACCCCTGTGTGAGGAGAGCAAGAACAGATGCAGAGATCCTAGCCTGCCAGTTTCCTTTTGGGTTCTGCAATAGAAGAGGCAGAAAAAGCCCCTCCAAAGACCTGGGAGGAAGCATGCCTCTTTAGCAGGACAAAGGAGGGGTGAGCTGTAGAGAGAACATTTAGAGAGCTCAGATTCAGAGCACCTAGTTAGTGAAGGTGCTGTTTCTTCCTCCTCCTCCTCTTCTCCATCTTCTTCTTCTTCCAGTACTTCTTGCCGCTTCCTCTTCCTGTCTATTTAGCCTGTGGATCTAGCACTTGGTTGTCCTCACAGGCACTGTCTGATTGAGTTTTTCAGTAAGGTCTGTGCTGTCTGCTGCTGTGACAAGATACTAATGACTTTTTCATACAGACTGTCCAGGAAAGGCCAGGGAGGTCCCCAGGAGGCCCTTTCAACAAGCTTACCTGCTTCTCCGTGGGCTGCAGCATCCTCAGTCTGTGTACTTTCTGTGTTATCTCTGTGCCCTGGAGTATAGATTTGGAGCTTAGTGTCTCAGCTCAGCAGCAGCCAGGTTTCTCTGCAATGCTTTGTACTAGGCTAGCACACTGACTAAGGGGCAGCCTGGCCCCTAAGGGCTATAGTTCTGCAGGTCTCTAGGGGACATGAACTTGCCCCCAAAGGACTGGCCACCATTAAGAGGATCACTAGTGGACAGGCAGCTCTGCAGAAGGACATCTCTGTCTTAAGTAGTCTAGTGGGCCCAGGTGTTCCCTGTTATTCAATTTTACCTCACTCCTGACTTCTAGAACTTACAGAGTTGGCCCTTCCCAGGTCTCCAAGGCCTCCTGGTGGCTGAGTGGCGCTCACCAATCTTTCCAAGTACCCCCACCAATCCTGCTTTGTCCTCCAACATGCTTCCCTGCTTAAACCTGCAGGTGTTGGCCCTTGTTGGCCCACTCCCTGTCCTCTACTGCAAGTCACCGGCATGTTCAGTGAAGAATATGGCACTGGGTTTTTTTTTCCACAGAGGTTCCTCAGATATAGCTGCACACCAGGTAGCAGACATCTCTGTACCTTTAAGACTCCATCGGTTCACAAGACCCTCTCCTCTAAGGGCTAAAGCCTCTGCCCCAAGTTCCATCCCTTTCTATCCCAACAATAGGCAGTTGCAGCAAATATTCCCCAGTACTAGCTCTTGGAGTGGATTTACTTTAATAGGACCCTACCAGGCACCCATTGTCCACCCTTAAATTCTATTACAGAGGCATGAGGGAGAGAAGCTGAGGGAAACACTCTGCAGGTTCAACTCTACTCTGCCTGGCTTTAAGAACAAACCTCTTGGTGGCAGTGACTCCCATGCCTAACTCTTGCCTTACAACTCTTCCCTCGGCTTGTGAACTCTGGATTTATCCAGATCCCTGCTGACTTTGACCTGTTCTTCAGAAACCTCCCAGATGCCTTCCCTGTCCAACCAACCTCAGAAGCCCCATCACATCCACCTCACACATAGCTCTGTCCTCAACATAGGCACATGGCTGACACATATGTGAACTTGGGTAGTATAGCTGACTCTTCCACAGCTCCCAGACAAGGGCATGGCTCTCACTGGTTAAGTTCCACGTATTTTAAAAAATGTTTAGGTCTGTCCACACTGCTTCACCCTCAAATTGTACAGAAACTGCTTTCCAGGAGAGAATGGGAAGGTCTTATGCTGATAGGATTCATATTTTCTTCTGATTGTTTCTAACTCCTAGCCCAACCTTGTAAGGTTAGGAGGTCATAATTCTTCCAGCTGGTTTTGACCTAGCTCGGGAGTACGACATGGACCCTAGAACACAGGTCACGTGATTATTGTGGTTGGTGACTGAGGGAGGCAAGGTGCTTGTGTACAGCACAGGAGTGGAAGACTGAGAAGGGGCCAGGCAGCAGGTATTTCATTTTTTCAGGATAGTTTTATATTTATCTTATTTTTATTTGTGTTTGCTTGTGTCTGGGTTGGGGGGAGAGGAGTATTGTCTGTGGTAGAAGACCAGAGTCCACCCTAAGTGGTTGAGATGCTCCTTTCTCTGTCCACGCACTTCCATTTGGGAATCCCCAACCTATGGCCACAATGTTTGGACTCAAGCCTGGGTAGGTGCTATGCTACAAGAGCCCATGTCAGGGCACAGGCAGCAGTAGCTGTCAGACTCCATCTAGGGTGGACTCTGGCAGCTTCAGGAGCACACAGTAGGAAGTTGTCCTTCAGGAAGAAAGAAAAGAGAGAAGTAGGGTGGCTATGGAATAAAAGGGAGTAGGAGAAGGCAAGGTCAGGAGTCTGAAGGGATGCCAAGGGAGGTGGTGCAGAGGTTGAAGAGAGACTAGAAGCAGGGGCTAGTGGGAGCTTGTGCAAAGGATGAGGAGAAACTGAAAAGAATCTGGGAAGAGACCAATGCAATGCTAGGGGAAGACAGAACCTCCTTACCTGCAGGCCTTAGAGGACTTTGGTCCTTGCTAAGTTGTGTCAAGGGTGGGCCTCAGTCACGACTGGCTTCTCAGACCACTGTTTTGGTTACAAGACAGAATATAAGACCAAAGAGGCTGTGTGGAGAGCAATCAGAACTTCTTCTGGGCTTCAAACTTACTGGAAGGAAAAGACTATAGCAGGGTTATCAGCATACAGCTTTTGGTTTCTTGTTACTGTGCTAGGAGCAGAGTTGCCTCTGGCTAAAGCCAGAGAGGGAACTAGAGGTTGATGAAAAAGACGGGAAAGGATAGGAGGAGGTGATTGTAGGGGAGAAGAATGATATCCCCCAGGCCTTCCAGGCAGTAATAGTGATAAATCCCAGCTGAGTCCCATCAGTAAAGAAACAAGAGCCTCTCAGACCAGAACAGAATAGTGTGAGGGCCATGTCAGCAAGGCAGAGACAGTGGGAGACAGTCTAGGTGTAGACTATAACACAGAACTCATGTGGCTGAGGGGGTTCTCTAAAATCTGCTGGGAGTCATTGAAGGTATAAAATCTTATTTTGGGGAACTGCCCCTGGACAGTTGCTTGAGCTGTAATACCATGCAGCATTTGAAACTGAAGCATCTGAGGAAAGAGGAAAGGTTAGGAAGTACGGTAGCATTGCAGGGATGGACCCCGCAATGGCTAGTCCTGTCTATGTGTACAGGTGACCCTGCTGCTTTCTAGAGAGAACATTAGGCCTTCTAGGACTCTTGTTCTGGGAAGCCTCACTGTGGGGCACAAGCATCCTGCCAGCCCTCAACAAACGGCTCATTGTAACAAGCCAGACTGCTACACCACCTCTGCGCCCTGGCAACCTAGTCATTTAGTTGGCTTCATGTCATGTCATGGCTCTATCCCTATAGTCTGTCGTATGTTGAGACTTCCAATTAGGTTTCTTTGGGGTGTTTTAAAATTAGGGTTTCTATGGATGTGTATGTCCCAAGTCTCTCATAGGGTCCTCGGTGTGTTTGCAATGAGCCTGCCAAGGTTAGGATCCACTCAGCTGTCCTTTCTCCACCCAGCCCCAGGGTTTGGAGCTTCCCTTAGAAAAAAGCTTTTAACCTTCTGTGTTGTAGGACATGGAGGTCCCTGGGATCACTGTGCCATGGCTACTAAGGCTCAGGGCACCATGTTTTAGGGTGCCACATCTCAGTGCTGAGGCTGAACAACACCCCTAAATTCTCTCTCTCTCTCTCTCTCTCTCTCCCTCTCCCTCTCCCTCTCCCTCTCCCTCTCTCCTCTCTCTCTCTCTCTCTCTCTCTCTCTCTCTCTCTCTCTCTGTGTCTGTCTGTCTGTCTGTCTCCTCTCGTCTCCCTTCTCTTTCTGCTCTTCTCTTCTCAGACCTCTAGCCAGGGATATGGTTTGGCAAGTACTGGTGAATTTAGAATGCTCCCCAGCTCTCCCTAGCCTGGCCCTGCCCTAAGGAGTCAATGGCTAGTACAGTCGAATGCCATCACTGGCATTGGACTAAGGGGAGGCCTGCCAGTGAGTGTTTTAAGGCTCTGAACTGAGTGCCAGCTGAGTTCTAGCTAAGTCTTTCTTCAACTCTAGCTGGAGCCCAGACTCTACCTCCTTCATCCCTAGCCTTATCCTCCACACCCAGCTACCTACTACCCCACTGCTTCCCAGCTTAGAAATCCCTAGGCTCCTTCAGCTCTTGAGGATACCTTCCATAACTCCAAGCTCTTTTGATTCAAGTAAATGTGCAGTATGTTCTTATTGAGTCTCTGGTGGCTAACCTGTCTGCACTTAGCAAGGATTCTGCAGGTTTAGGAGTGAATACATGCAAGGTTGGGCATGAACAACTGGTTGGATACATGGATATGTTCATAGAAAGATGAGTAAATGACATGCTGATGAACCTGGCTTTCCTACCTTAAACTCCCAGCACCCATTTGGTCCTGAGTCCAAGGAAGAGAT